GTAGGGTGCTTGCCTTGCACACCACAGACCTGGGTTCGATCCCTGGCATCCCTGGATTCTAGCCTTTGCCTTCTTTTTTTTTTATGTTTTTTTCCCCTTTATTTTATTTTTTTTACAGTTGTAAATTTATAATTTTTTGTGCTTTGGTTTCTATTATACAATGATCAGATACCCATCCCTCCACCAGTGCCCATTTTCCACCACCATGGATAATATCCCCCCCATCCCCATTCCCCCATCCCCCCTGTCTCTGTGGCAGGGCAATCCCCTGTGTTCTCTCTCTCCTTTTGGGTGTTGTGATCTGCAAAAGATAGCCTTTGCCTTCTTAACCATAAAGTCCTTCCAAGAAGTGCTGTCACTGGGGCTGGAACGATAGCACAGTGATAGAGCATTTGTCTTGCACACAGCTGACCCAGGTTCGATTCCCAACATCCCATATGGCCCCCTGAGCACTGCCAGGAGTAATTCCTGAATGCAAATCCAAAGGTAACACTTAGTGACGCACTAAGGGGTCACTCCTGGTGGGCTCAGGGGACCATATGGGGTGCCAAGGATTGTGAATCCAGGTTGATCACAAGCAAAGCAAATGCCCTACCAGCTGTAATGTAGTTCCAGGCCCAATTTATTTAAAGAAAAACCAAACAAAAAACATGTAATTATTCATTTATTTACTTTTTTTAAAAAAAATAGACATACCTAGCTATGTGCAGGACCTACTCCTGGCTTGGTGCTTGGGGGACCATATGGGGTGGTAGGGATCGAATCTGACTTGGCTATATGCAAGGCAAGAGCTCTACCCATTGTACTATCTCTCTGGCCCCTCCGTGGGTTACTTTAGAAAATCTATTTTCAGGTCTGCTAGAGATGCAAACCTGTAAGCACTCTTCTGCAGGCAATAATTTGACTACTTTGTTGCTTGTAACATAAATTGCCTACAATAATGTCAATAAAATGTCTTTTGGGTGGGGGTGTTAGGGGGAGGGTTTTGACCATAATCGGTGGTGCTCAGGGCTTACTTCTGGATCTGTTACGAGAGGTTATTCCTAGAAGTACTCAGGGGACCATATGCTGTGTTGGGGACCAATCAGAATTGGCTGCATGTTATTCAAGTGCCTTAACCCCAATAATGTTTCTCTTTCTGACCCAATAAAGTTTCTTTACTGCCCATCATTTGGCCACTGAACCAATGACACTAATGTTTGGTTTGGGTTATAGGGTTCTAACAGTTTCTTGAGTCTGAGAGCTCCTGCTAAATCTATTTTGAAAGACAGATGTTATGGTAACCAGGCAGTGCTCAAATACCAGAGGATTAGAACCACCAAGGATTGGTTCCCACTTAAGAACATTCCTGTAGCTTTGGCCGGGGGCCCAGATCCATACCACCTCACTCTGGAACCCATCTCCCTGTGAGCCATCACCATCTGGAGGAAGACGGGCTCTTATAGGGAGGGCAAAGGAAGTTCTGGAGGCGTTCACACTGGTAATTAGATTCCGTCTGGGTCCAGAAGTGGCACAAATTATTTCGGCTCACGGCTCATGGGTAAGAATAAGGAGCCTGGTCCAAACCCAAGTGGGTCCGAGATTCTTCCCTCCCTGAGCCGGAGACATTTGGAAAACAACACTAATGACTACCACAGTGGGGGGTGTGAGGGGTGTAATGAAGAAGCAGGCTGAGCACTTGTGATACTAACAAGCTCTCCTGGGACCCTCCCTGAAAGAAGAGTTCTTTATAGATTTATTTCTTGGCAAGGTTAGTCATTTCCTTAGGCTGTTGACTTGCATGGCACAGATGTCTAATGCATTCCTTTTCCAATATACAGCCTCACTCAAGTGAAAGCTGTTAGATTTTTTTTCTCTAGTGAATTCTGGAACCTTATCCTTGTCACCACTTTGTAACTGATATCATCATCACCACCATCATCATCGTGAAAAACTCAGGCTAATCAGCAAAGGACAAAGTAGGCTTATTTATCAGATAACTGATTTGCTTTTTGTCCTTCCCCAGTCCATTTTGGGACCCCCAGCAAGCCCTGGTGGATGGAGTTGGTCACAGTTCTTCCAAAGATTAAATAAATGAAAGGGGATTTTAGGTTTTTTTGTTTGTTTGTTTGTTTCTTTGTTTGCTTTTTGGGTCACACTCGGCGATGCTCAGGGGTTACTCCTGGCTTTGCACTCAGGAATCACTTCTGGCGGTGCTCGGGGGACCATATGGGAAGCTGGGAATCGAACCCAGGTCGGACGCGTGCAAGGCAAATGCCCTACCTGCTGTGCTATTGCTCCAGCCCCGGGGATTTTAGGTTTAAGAGTTAATGCTATGAGGTGTGAAAGGGGACATATATTCGTTTACATATCCATAGGTGCTAAGGGCTGGAAATTAATCCTTGAAGGTCAAGACATTGATTTTTTTTTCGTATAATTATTAGATGACCATTGTGTGTGTGTCGGGAGGATGGATATAGAAAAAGGGAAACTTCAGAAAAATAGCAAAAGTTATCTGCAGGTTATAAAATCACCGCATTCTCTTCACTTGAACCAGAATTCAAAGGGGACTTCCCTCAACTTCCCAGTGGAGAAAATAGAGAAGGGTTAAGAGAAGGAATTAAATTGACCCAAGAGGAGCTGGAGTGATAGTACAGTGGGTAGTGCATTTGCCTTGCATGCAGCCGACCCGGGTTCAATCCCCTGCATCCCATATGGTCCCCTGAGCACTACCAGAAGGAATTCCTGAGTGCATGAGCCAGGAGTAACCCCTGTGCATTGCTGGGTGTGACCCAAAAAGCAATAAATAAATAAATATATAAATAAATAAATTGCCTCAAGAACAAGGCAGCTGGGGCATGTGGAGTATTGTCTGCTGGACAGAGGCTGACCTGTAGCGACTATTTGAAATGATGGACGCTCTAGGTCAGTGAGTCCTGCCCAGAGGCAAGGCAGGAAGGTGAGGGCCATTATTCAATGCATGGACCTATTTTTAACTCACCCCCACCATCATGCGCAGTTGGCCTCTCCTGGTGGAAAATGATGGGGTGATTCTTCTTAAGGAGTGTGTGAGCCAAGTGTCCTTGAGGATGGAGTGTTGACACAGTGAGGACCAAGGGAGGTGGCCCCTGACCACTCTCCTTCCGCAGGGCTTCTAGGTGGTGAAAAGAACCATTGTCAGAGATGACTCAGGGAAACAGCGAAGTGTATGACCATCACCCTCTCTCCGCAGAGGAAAAGTACAAGGCTGTTCTTGCCAGGGTAATGGCAATTGCACACCCACACCCACCCATTAATACCCCTCCCACACACACACCCTCCACATGTCCAGTTGTTCCCTTTTAATAAGCTAGAATGTTCTTTTTTAAAAAAATTAATTGAACAACTCTTTAATTTTTGTTGTTGTTTTGGGGGGGTCACACCTGGCGATGGACAGGGGTATCTCCTGGCTCTGCACTCAGGAATTACTCCTGGCAGTGCTTGAGGGACCATATGGGATGCTGGGAATCGAACCCAGGTCAACTATGTGCAAGGCAAACTACCCACTGTGCTATTGCTTCAGCCCCTAGAATGTTCTTTAAGGAATCCACCACTTATCCCTCTCTCTCTCTCTCTCTTTCTCTCTCTCTCTCACACACACACACACACACACAGACATGCATATATACACACACAGATGCACACACATGCACGCGCACACACAGACACACTTAACGCACCACCAATTTTAAAGAAAATAAACCTGGAAAGTAGGATTATTATTGATATTCCTGGGATAGTATATTTTATTACCCATGTCAGAGAAATAAAAGAAAAAGGTTTTCTGATGAAGTCTTCCTTTGGCTTAGCACACAGTGAATCTCAGGAGGAATCTTCCTCTTAGACCCGTTCCTATCCCCTTCCTGGTCTGACATGGAGAGTGGAGGGGACTCTGGGGCCTGCTCTCAGGACAGCCTCTCTCTTGTTTGTCCTGTCTCCTGTCCCCTTGACTATCCAGGACTCCTCTGCTGGCTCTTCTTTCTTCTGAACTTGAACTGTCAATTGTAGGGTTCTAGGCTAGCCCTGGTCATGACCATGAGTCCCTTCATTGTTGACACTCTTTTTCTAGAAGACTTTAGTGGCCTGGGTAAACAGTTGCTAAATATTTTAAATTCATAAATCCCAAGTTACTCTACCCTATTCTAGACCCGCATACACAGTTGTCTTCTTGACATCCTCATTTGCATGTCTAATTTGCCTCTCCAATGGACTATGTCTAAAAGTGAGTTCTCTGGAGATTCCTGTGTATTCAACCACTTCTCTCCCTCAACAGTCAGTGCCACTCACCCATCTAGTGGCTCAAACCCAAATCCTGGAGTTCATTGTTCATTTCTCATAACCTGTTTACCCCCAATCCTTGCTGCTTCTACGGCCTCACACCTTCCACCCTCTCTCCTCCCTCCTCTGGTCACAGAACTTGACTCTAGTCTAAGTCTCTACTGTCTCTCTTTAGACTGCTGCAAATTCCTCATCTTCCTATTTATGTATTTGTTTATTGATTTTTGGGGGGTTTGGGGCCACACTAAGTGGTGTTCTGAGCTTACTCCTGCCTCTGGGCTCTGGAGACCATATGGAGTGCTGGGAATTGAAGCCAGGTCAGACACATGCAAGGCAAATGCCCTATCTACTGTATATTATCACCCCACAGATTCTCATTTCTTCTTTTGCTCTTTTCTAGTTCAATATCCTCCACATCTCTATGCAAACCACACCCCTTCTCTCTGAGAACTAGCATGGCTTCAATATCACTACCTACACAACGCTATTAAGTTAAACCCGGAACACCTCATCCTGCCAGATCTTAACCTTTGGTTTCTTTTCAGTCTTGTTTTGAGCTTCTCTATCCTTTCCCTATTTTTTTCTTTTTTTTTTCATTTTTGAACACACCCAGAGATGCTCAGGGGTTACTCCTGATTCTGTACTCAGGAATCACTCCTTATGGGATGCTGGGAATTGAACCTGAGTCAATCGCGTGCAAGGCAAATGCCCTCCCAGCTGTGTTATGGCTCCAGCCGCTCCCTTCCCTAGCACCTGGCCTTCTTTATTACTCTCAAAAGCTTGTGATCTTTCTAGCTCAGGGCTTCTTTCCCTTGTCTGCCCAGAAGACTCTTCCCTGATGCAGAGAGTGGAGGCTCTTTCCCACCTTTGAATTCTCAGTTGAAAAACAGTCTCCTTAGAGGGAACTTACTGAGCTGCCTTCTCAAAAGTTAAATCCCAGGCTTTTTTCTGATAAGGCATCCCATTTATTTTCTTCAGAACATTGACTAATATGCATGTGTCTTCTTGGCTTACTGTTAAGGTCTACTAGACGGTAATTCATTTACTGCCTGAAAAAAAATATCCAGCTCATGAGAGCAGATATTTGCTCTTAAGCATATTTCAATTTCAGCCCCTGGCCTCTTACTGAGCATTTTGTAGTCTCTTTTCTTCTTTTTATTTTTTTTAATTTTACATTCTTTCTTTAATTTAAAGTTATTAACTAACAATCTATTTTTTCCCCAAAATTTTATTGAAGCAACATGAGTTGCAAAGTTACTCCTAATTGGGACTTTTATATACAATGTTCCATAATTGGGTTGGAGTGATAGCACAGCGGGTAGGGCGTTTGCCTTGCACGCGATGACCTGGTCGACCAGAGTTCGATTCTTCCACCCCTCTTGGAGAGCCCAGCAAGCTACCGAGAGTATCTAGCCAGAACAGCAAAGCCTGGCAAGCTCCCCGTGACGTATTCGATATGCCAAACACAGTAACAAGTTTCACAATGTTCCTAGCCCCGCTCAAGCAAATCGATGAAGAATGGGAGGACAGTGACAGTGACAGTGACAGTTCCGTAACTAATCCTACCACCAGTGTCAGCTTCCCTCAACCAGTGTTCCCAGATTTCCTCCCTACTTCACCCATGCCAGCCCCAATCTGCCCTCTTGACAGGCACCTTTTAAATTTGGTTATTAATGTTTGGGTCTCGTGATTTCAGTGATATTGGCTTTGTGGTTTGGATATTTAGCTCTGTTAGTCCTTAACTCCACTAGTAACTGGGTCCTTTTGACCCTATGCTTCTTGTTTCTCATTAATCTGGGGTCAAGGGTAGTCTAGGCATTCCCCCATTTTAAACCACTACATATTATCATGCAGTTACTCTAAATGCCACATATATGTGATATCATTCTTTCTTTGTCCTTCTTCTGGCTTATTTCATTCTACATGTCTTCCAGTTCCATCCACGTTGCAGCAAATTGCATGATTTTATCATTCCTTCCAGCTGTGTAGTATTCCGTTGCTGAAGCAATAGCACAGCAGGTAAGGCGTTTGCCTTTCACGAGGCTGACCTGGGTTCGATTCCTCCGCCTCTCTCGGAGAGCCTGGCAAGCTACTGAGAGTATCTCGCCCGCACGGCAAAGCCTGGCAAGCTACCCGTGATGTATTCAATATGCCAAACACAGTAACAACAAGTCTCACAATTTGTTGTGAGATGTTACTGGTGCCTGCTCGACCAAATCGATGAACAACAGGAGGACAGTGACAGTGACTATATACCACATCTTCATAAATGGAATTTCCCTTCCTCTCTTCCCATTTTGTTGAGTGTGCGGATCACAAACACATTTGGTTGCAGGGCTCCATGGGGGTTTCACGACATTAGTTGGGGTGCTAGTACACCTGCTCACCAGGGTTCACGCTCATGGGGGGTCATTCACTTCAGTTATGATGCTTCTTTATTTGTTTTGTTTGGGGGGGGCACACTCAGCAGTGCTCAGGGCTTCTACTCTTTATACTGATGGATACCCACTCCTGGCAGAGATGGGGAACCGTATGTGGTGTCAGGTAATTAACCTGGGTTGCCCATGTGCAAGGCAAGCATTTTTCCTACTGTAGTATAGCTTCAGCCCCATTTATGGTTCTTACACACACCTGGTTATTGTGCACTGGAGATCACGTACGGTTGCTGTGCTGGAGTCTCAAATAGCACCATTGCTAGTACAGTCCTGGTGTGAGCACATTGAGGTGGTATCAGGGATGAAAACTGCGGTCCCAGGGCTAGAGAGATAGCACAGCGGGTAGGGTGTTTGCCTTGCACGCGGCTGACCCGGGTTCGATTCCCAGCATCCCATATAGTCCCCCAAGCACCGCCAGGAGTGATTCCTGAGTGCAGAGCCAGGAGTAACTCCTGAACATCGCTGGGTGTGGCCCAAAAAGCAACCCCTCCCCCAAAAAACCCTTCAGTCTCACCTTTACCATGCTGATGCCTTTTTTTTTTTTGGTTACTAAGTTCCTCCACCCAGTTCCTCAATAAATACCTGTTAGATGAAATGTGTGATTCCTACCATCACTGAAAATGCCAGCATTTAGACACAACAGATAGGCAAGGCACAGAGCATGCTGGGAGATGCTCACTTGTCACTGGAAGGAAGTCATGTTGGATGGGGTTGGCCTTCTTGGTCCTTCTTCACCTGGACGCGGGCAATTTCTGAAGCTGTCATTGGAGTGGCAGTTCTGCAGGTGTGGTTTTTAACCGCTCTTAATATATGCCTGAGAGAAATGATCATCTAGGCACAGGGCTTTTCTAAAATGAAAAAACTGAATCTATTTCACAAAAGAATTAAAAACAGAATTCTGATTCATGAACTTGCTAATGACTTTTCCCTTCTGAAGAACCTCCCTGTGCACTATGAAACGTCTCCTGGGGCACATCTCATGCCTGATGTGATGGTATCCAGGGGCTATCAACTCTACCTTCAGATTGGCAGGCATTGACAGCAAGGCTTAACCCATACAGGCATTGGCAGCAAGGCTTAACCCATACAGGCAACTCAAAGGATGGTTCCTGCCGCCATATTCATCCAGGCATCCTTCTGGGATAAGGCAGCTTTCTACTCATCCTGTTCTGGCTCGACTTTGAAGAATTCCCAGCCTCGCTCAGAACCTCGTGAATAAACATGGCATCTCCACTGCCAAGCACCAAAATTTAAAACAAACTTAAACACACACACACACACACACACACACACACAAAGGCAAAAAAGAATCACCAACAAATCAATTTACAACCCAGGTAATGATAGCAGGTAATTGGGCAAAGGTAAAAGAAGAGAAGAAGAGCATCTGTCTGGTACTCGATGGTTTTCTTCTCCTAAAAAAAAAAAAGTTTAATCTTTTTTTTTTTTTCAAATGGAGTAACTCACTTACTCAAAATCTAATTGCTTAATCACACAGCCTGCAAATAGGGAAACGATTGACGAGGTGAATCTGGCACTTGTTTTCAAGCATTTCACTGTAACATATAGGTTGAGAGGAGGGAGTGGAAATCGGAAGTTTCAGCAGAAGCTGTTGTGGAGCAGATCTGGGGAGGGACAGGATGAGGGGATGGAGATGCAGCGATGGGCTTGTCTCCCTCTACCCCTCCACCAGCCACCTCTTAACCCACACACCCAGAAGCCTCAGTTCCCTTGGGAGAGTGGATGCTGCTGAAGTACTCAAATCCACCTTGCGATGCATTCTGCACTCGGGCATGCATTTTGTGGTTTGAGAGTACCTTTGTGTACTGTTCCCGTCATTCTTCTCATCAAGGACCCTCTCCTGGTCATCTGACCTGCACAAGAAGCTTCACCAAAACACCATATCAGTTCATTTCTTTTTCTCCGAATGGGAGAAATAGAGGAACAGACCCACAAAGGGCAACCTTACCTGAAAGGGGCCATCTGAAGAGATCTGATAACCCTCATCGATCACAACCTGGGTGACCCAGTGAAGGACTAGTGTTCCTGGAAGAAATGAATGAAAAGGGGCTGGAGAGATAGCACAGTGAGTAGGGCACTTGCCTTGCACATGGTCAACTGGAGTTTGAGCCCCAGTACTTCATGTTATACCCAGAACAAAGCACCCCCAGGAGATGCTCTGCCAGGTATGACTCCTCCCCCACAATTCCCCACCCCCACCCAAATTATTGCTTGGAAAACCATTTTCCTCTCCTCCCTCCTGCAGTTAGGGAAAGAGACTCTAGCAACTGACTTTGATCCAAACACAGCCTATGGGTCTCATTATAGCATGATCCAGGAGCCAAGGCAGCCTGCCACATGGGGTGGTAAGAATTAAAATGAGAAAATACAGGAAAATGCCTCTGAAATGTGCCCAGCAAACAATAGATGCTCAGTAATGCAGGTATACAATATAAAGGTAAAGGTAAAGGCCCTCCCGTTGATCATCGATTTGCTCGAGCGGGCCCAGTAACGTCTCCATTGGAGACTTTGTTGTTACTGTGTCTGGCATATCGAATACTCTCGGTAGCTTGCGGGGCTCTCCGAGAGGGGCGGAGGAATCGAACTCGGGTCGGCCATGTTGGCCGCTTGTAAGGCGAACGCCCTACCCACTGTGCTATCGCTCCAGATTGGTTTGGGAGTCATACCCGGTAGTGCTTGGAATTTACTCCTGGAACTGTGCTCAGGGATCACTCCTGGAAGTCCTCACAGGGCCATGATTGAATCTAGGCTGGCCACAAGTTTTAAAAGTGCTTCATCCACTGTACCATCACTCCAGCCCATTTTTTTTTTCTTTTTGGGTCACACCCAGTGATGCAGAGGGTTTACTCCTGGCTCATGCACTCAGGAATCACTCCTAGTGGTGCTCGGCGGATCATATGGGATGCTGGGAATCGATCCCGGGTCGGCGGCGTGCAAAGCAAATGCCTTACCGGGTGTGCTATCGCTCCAGCCCCTCCAGCCCAACTTTTTTTTTTTTGTCGTGCTTCATTTTTTTTTTTTTAATTTTTATTAGTGAGACACCATGAGGTACAGTTGCAGACTTACAAATTTTTGTGCTTGGGTTTCAGTTATACAATGATCAAATACCCATCCCTCCACCAGTGCCCATTTCCCACCACCACGGATCCCAGTATCCCTCCCACCTCCCATCCCCCCCATCCCACCCTGCCTCTGTGGCAGGGCATTTCCTTTTGTTCTCTCTCTCTCTTATTGGGTGTTGTGGTTTGCAAAAGAGGCAATGGGTGGCAATCATGTTTGGTCTATAGTCTACTCTCATCCAGCCCAACTTTTAAAAACAATTATTTTTATTAAAGACCTGTGATTTACAACGTCATGGATAACTGCATTTTAGGCATATAATACTCAACACCAATCCCCCCCCTCCCCCCCCCCAGCCACCTTCCCTGCACCCCTGTTCCCATACTCCCTCCCCACCTCAACTCCCACCCCATCTCCACCTGCCAGCTTCACAGGCACATTACAGAGTTTCAGAGGTTGGCGTTTTCCGTGTGTTTGAGTCTGTGTTTTGGCTGTCTCGCCACACCACTCACCCATATCACCGGTATAACCGAAGCCCTGAAGCCTATTCACCCATTACTTCCTGTTCTCTTCTCTCCCTCCCCCTACCCCACCCCACCCCACCCCACCCCCAGATTTCTTTCCTCCTCTTTTCTAAACAGCCCAATGTTTCATCAGCACATTTATGAGCTCCTTCCTAATGCCCCTCTCCTCCCTTTACAGGTCTGGTCAGCAAGCAGTCTCTCCAGATACCCACTGGGAGGTGGTGGGATGCAGTTATATCAGGATGCCAACGCCTGGACTGCATCTCTGAGAGGCGACCATCTTGGGGCTCTTTCTTCCCAGGGGCTGTCAGCACCCTGCTGGGAAACTTCTAGTGAGCCCTAATGAGGGATTCCCACCTCTTTCTCTAAACCCACCCTGCAGTGCTAAGAAGCCTTGCAGCCCTCTCCTTGCCCCTTCCAGCTTTAGGGGCTGCTGCGCTGGGGCTCTGCATTGGAGCAGAGTTGAAGTTGGTAGTTCTCCACCCATCTCCAAAAATGCAGATACATATATATCTATATCTATATCTATATATATTATTTTTTTGGAAGTAGACATCGGAGAAGCCGTCTTTGAAACACAGAGGGACACACTGCGATTCCTTCCTTGCCATGCCATTTCTGGATGAACGCGGGCACAGCCAACGCCGTGTGCTATGCCATGGCGGGGGGGTGACTGTGTTTTCTTATTGATGAAATGCAACTGCGCAGGTCAACTCGGCCAGCCGAAACGGGGGGTACGGAAGCGGCTCGCGGAGGTGGAGGGGGGTGTGGTGCCAGGCTAAGTGGTGCCCCCGAGGAGAGGTGGCGGGAGGAGGGGGGTGGGGGGGGGTTGCCGCGGCTGCAACTCGGCGGTGCAGAGAGAGAGAGAGAGAAAGAGAGAGAGAGAAAGAGAGAGAGAGAGGCGTGGCGGGCGGGCGGGCGCGCGGGAAAGACCGCAGGGGAGAGGCGAGCGGGGGGTCGGTTTCCCCTGCGCGCTGCCTGCCGCAGCCCCCGGCTGGGCGAGGGGTGTGATGTGGGGGTGGGGTGGGAGGGGGCAGCAGGCGGGGCCTGCCACGTCACTTGGAGAGTGTGTTGGGAAGGAAGGGCAGAGCCGGGAGCCGAGCCGCTCGCTGCAGCCGCTGCGGCCGCCGAGGAAGGCGTGAGCGCTTTGGGGAGGTGGGTGTCGCCCCCCGCGCCCGGGCCGCGGGGCAGCCCCCCGGGGGCCCGCTCGGAGGCCCGCAGCGCCGCGCCGGGGTCGGCGGGAACGGCGACCTTGGCCAGCCCGAGCCCCGCGGTGGACGTAGGGCGGAGGCCGAGCCCCGCCGGGAGTCTTGGCCCAGCCGGAGGGAGGCGCTTGCGGCGTCTCGGGGCCAGCGGCCGCCGCGGGGTGTCTGAGCCCTGGCAGGAGCGCCCGCCCGACTGGAGGGCGGACCCCCAGCCTCGGGCGCAGAGGACAGGAACTGGTGGGGTGGGGCTGGGGGCGGGGGGCGCGGGCAGGCGCGGTCTTTCTGGGCATCCCGTTGCAAACGCGCCCGGGGGCCATTCCAGGTGGCCCCGCCGGCTCGGGCACCCAGAGCACCGGAGACGCGGAACCAGGTCCTCGGCGGCGCCCTGCTCACCTCCCCCGACCTAGTCCGATAAGGAGCCGGGTTCGCGGACAGCCCCCACCCCCACCCCACCCCACCCCTAGCGGGGTCAGGGCGTCGGGCGCAGCAGCGGCTGCAGCAACGCGTGCCCCACCCTAGCCGAGGGCGCGCGGCGGAGCGCGCGGGGGGGAAAAGGAGCAGAGGGGTGTTTGGGGGAGGGGGGTGGGCCCGGGGTGGGCGCCCAGTTCCCAGCAACCTGCGTCAGGGTGGAGGTCCGGAGAGGCGTCCCGACGAGGGGGACATGAGGTCGGAGAAGTCGCTGGCGCTGGCGGCGCCCGGGGAGGCGCCCGGGCCCGAGGGAGAGCAACAGGGTGCGGGCGACTTCCCGGAGGCCGTTGGCGGGGACGCGGGGGTCGCGGGGGCCGCGGGGGGCTGCTGCAGCAGCGAGCGGCTGGTGATCAACATCTCGGGGCTGCGCTTCGAGACGCAGCTGCGCACCCTGGCGCTGTTCCCCGACACGCTGCTGGGGGACCCGGGCCGCCGCGTCCGCTTCTTCGACCCGCTGCGCAACGAGTACTTCTTCGACCGCAACCGGCCCAGCTTCGATGCCATCCTCTACTACTACCAGTCCGGGGGCCGGCTGCGGCGGCCGGTCAACGTGCCGCTGGACATCTTCCTGGAGGAGATCCGCTTCTACCAGCTGGGGGACGAGGCGCTGGCCGCCTTCCGCGAGGACGAGGGCTGCCTGCCCGAGGGCGCGGACGACGAGAAGCCGCTGCCCGCGCCGCCCTTCCAGCGCCAGGTCTGGCTGCTCTTCGAGTACCCCGAGAGCTCGGGCCCCGCGCGGGGCATCGCCATCGTCTCGGTGCTGGTCATCCTCATCTCCATCGTCATCTTCTGCCTGGAGACGCTGCCCCAGTTCCGCGCCGACGGCCGAGGCGGCAACCACGGCGGCGTAGGGGGCGGCGGTGCCGGCGGCGGCGGCGGCCTGGGCGCAGGGGGCAGCGGGTCCCCGGGGGCCAGGGGCGCGCAGGAGGACGAGGAGGAGGACGACGACGCCTACGCGTTCCACTCCGGCGGCCTGTCGGCCGGGGACGTGGTGGCCGGCGGCTCCTCGTCGCTGAGTACCCTGGGGGGCTCCTTCTTCACCGACCCCTTCTTCCTGGTGGAGACGCTGTGCATCGTCTGGTTCACCTTCGAGCTGCTCGTGCGCTTCTCCGCCTGCCCCAGCAAGCCCGCCTTCTTCCGCAACATCATGAACATCATCGACCTGGTGGCTATCTTCCCCTACTTCATCACCCTGGGCACCGAGCTGGTGCAGCAGCACGAGCAGCCCGCGGGCGGGGGCGGCCAGAACGGGCAGCAGGCCATGTCGCTGGCCATCCTGCGGGTCATCCGCCTGGTGCGCGTGTTCCGCATCTTCAAGCTCTCACGCCACTCCAAGGGGCTGCAGATCCTGGGCAAGACGCTGCAGGCGTCCATGCGCGAGCTGGGCCTGCTCATCTTCTTCCTCTTCATCGGCGTCATCCTCTTCTCCAGCGCCGTCTACTTCGCCGAGGCCGACGACGACGACTCGCTCTTCCCCAGCATCCCCGACGCCTTCTGGTGGGCGGTGGTCACCATGACCACCGTGGGCTACGGGGACATGTACCCCATGACGGTGGGGGGCAAGATCGTGGGCTCGCTGTGCGCCATCGCGGGCGTCCTCACCATCGCCCTGCCCGTGCCCGTCATCGTGTCCAACTTCAACTACTTCTACCACCGCGAGACGGAGCAGGAGGAGCAAGGCCAGTACACGCACGTCACTTGCGGGCAGCCGGTGCCCGATCTCAAGGCCACTGACAATGGGCTGGGCAACAAGCCGGAGCTGTCCGAGGCGCCCCGGGACCGGAAATCCAGCTACCTCCCCACGCCCCACCGGGGGTGCGCCTCGGAGAAGAGGATGCTCACGGAGGTCTGACCGCGCCTGCCCGGGGAAGGACCTCTCGGAGCAGCCCCTCGACCTCCTCCATCCTTCTTCCCTTCTGTGCTCCTGGGCTGCTTCCAGCTCCCCTGCGCCCAGCAGGGGGAGACCCCCCCCCAGGATAACGCATATATGGAAGCTCCCCCCACCCCTTGATTCTTCATCCCTGTCACTATGGAAAATGGAAAATCACTTTTTTTTGACATTTCAACGGTGCCACTCATGTCCATCTTGTGTCCATGGGTAAGATTTCCTGTCCGACGTCTCTCTCTTACCTTATTCCACCCCACCCCAGCCCCTCGAGACTCTGATTTTTGATTTTTTTTTTCATGTTCGGGACTTGTGGTGTCTCTAGCATTAGAAATGGCAGAAGGATGGAAAGGCAGGTGTTCTGTCGCTGTCCCTGCTGTCCCCGGGTGAGGGGTGCGTGTCCCTGTCTTAGCTTCTGGAACTCGTCAGTCACTGCAGATGCAGGAGGAATGAATGTGTGCTGCTCTGACTGTTTCATCCCCGTGTCCTGGAGAGAGCCCCCTAGGGAGAGCTTTTATGCCTGGCCTGGGTGGGTGAGACATCTTTCAGCTGGGCTGGGCTGAATTAGAGGAACAGCTATTTGGGTGGTGTTTTTTTTTTTTTTTTTTATTATTTTTTGGAGAGGATCTGGGGAGTGTGCGTGCGTGCGTGCGTGCGTGCGTGTGTGTGTGTGTGTGTGTGTGTGTGTGTGTAGGGGGCGGGCGGGCGGTTATCCTGAAGTGAAGGGGCCGATTGGTCAATGCAGATGCATTGACCGGACCCTGGGACTGGTAAGCATCAGTCTGTGGTCAACCTGTAGCGTTCCTGTTTTTCAGAATCTGAGCATCTCTGATGGTGCAAGCTCCTTTCCTATGCCAAGGAGCTGGGGAAAGGGAAGCCTGCGGCCAGGAGAAATGGCCCAAGAGACTCAAACCAGTGGCTTGATCACGGCTTGACAGACAGGTGCCACTTAAATAGACTCCCGTCAGCACCCAGGGCCAGAGGGTGGCCCCGCCCTGTCTCCCCCCTCCCCCCATCCTTCAGTCCCAGCAAGTTCTCCAACCTTCTTCCTTCCTGGGGCTTCTAAAAAGCCTTCCCCACCCCCACCACCCCCACCACCATCTTCCTGGAAAAGCACCTAAGGCTGCTAAGTGTGGTTTCTTCCCATTTCACTGGCAACGAAATGGGTTGGGAGGGAGGCAGGTGCAGGATTGCGAGGGGACAGCTTTCTGCTGAGTCAGACGAGCTGGGCCGACACCCCCGGGAAATGCAGTACCCCTACTCTCCCCCTCCCCAGAAAGGTAGCCTGCAAATGTAGGTGTTGTCCCTTCCTTCCCAGATTTCTCCCTCTTCCTCCTCCCCTCTTCCCCACCCCCCACTCCTTCTCTCCTAGTAACCTTTGCTATCCTTCCTTCTGCTGCCTTGAACAACTGTGATGTATTGTCTTTGAGCTCTTCTGGGCACACTTAAAATCTCCGCCCCCCCCCAAAAAAAATAGGACTGTTAACCCATTTTCATTTCACCTCTATGTTTTCAGACTCTTTGATGACAAGTCTTTTAAAAGGATGATCTCCTAAGGGAACTTAGGAGAGTTGATGAGGAAGGTTCCTGCAGGGTTGGCTGGAGCGATGACCCCCCCACCCCCCAATCCCTCCTCTTCCCCACCCCTCCCTCAGCTCCAGGGAGCAGGGCGGGCTGGATGGAGTTGGGGGATCCAGACTGTGGCTTTACAGGGTCATTTTGATGCCACGGTTCTTCTCTGTGCCTCAGTTTCCCTACCCATTCCATCGGCATATGACTGGCGTCCCCTCCCTACCTCATGGGGACATCGGGGAAGCTGGGGAGAGGCCTGCTATGCAAATGTCTGAACTGGGCTTGATTTTCAGTTCAAGAACTCCATCCCCACCATCTTCCAAAGACAAGGCCAAACCCCCACCCCCACCAGGTCCCACCTCAGATCGCCAAGGCAAGAGATACTTTTCTGGGCCATTAGCTCCTTGATTCCCTCCTTGGAGTCGAACTTCACCTTCTCCTCTCCATTTTTAGCAAAAGGAGGCCTTGGGGGGGGTCCCCTGGGGTCCTGTGCCTGGAGCTGGCGTTCTCCACCAAAATACAGATGGTCAGGCTCCGATACTGGCTCTGAGGTATCACAGGCTGGTCCCCTCACCTCTGCAGGGGGTCCTGGCCATGTGGGGGGAGGGGGAGGGCACTTGGGAAGGTCAAAGGGAAGTTCCTTACCAAGGGTCCTGCTTGAAACACGGGTGCCTGCATCTCTGTCTCCGTGGAGATGGAGGGGACGCCCCTTCTACCCCTCCAACAAGTCAACTCAGACCTTGCTTAGAGGGAAAAGGGTTTGTGGTGAGCTGGGCTCTCTGGAGATTCTGGTTGCCATAGCAATCTGCCAGCCCATTCTCTCTTTTGATTTGGGCAGCCAGGGAGAACAAGAGAGGACAGCTATTTTACTTGGGATCCGGGAGCACCTCCCCCCCGGGTTCTGCCCAGGCATGCCAGGGCAGGGAGATGCTTTGGCCTTTTTTTTACAAAGGAAGAGGAAGACTTGGAGTGCGGTGGGAAACAGTCCCAATTCCCCTCCCCTCAACCCATGGACCTTTCTTTCTCCTGAATTTTGCCCCCCTCCGAACCCCCCACCCATTTGAAGCTGCCTTCTCTGACTTCGATTCTTCAGAAACTTGACTACTCAGCAGCTGCCAGTTAAATCCGTGTGGACATGATCTATTTCCAAGAAAAAAAAAAAAGACGATGGTCAGCCAGGGAGCCAGAGAGAACCTGGATTCTCAGAGATAGGCTGCAGGAGGTCATCCCAGCTGGACTAGTTACAGCCCGTGATAGTAACCTGGAACTCCTCCTCCTGCTCCTCCTCTTCCTCCTCCTCCTCCTCCTCCTCCTCCTCCTCCTCCTCCTGTTGGAGGGAGGCTCCTCCCAGCTCTCAGAGACTGTGAGATGCACAGACCTGGCAGTTCTGGACCTGCTCCCCCAGTGCCGCCCCGGAACCCCAGAACAGCGACAGGCAGGTGCTGTTCCTTGGGCAGCTCCTCTTCGAACCTGAACCCCTGGGCTGCCCTACTTCTGACTCAGACTGTGCCAAGTGACCCCTCGCAGAGCCTCTCCGGTGGATCTAGGGCCTGGCACACCCAGAGAAGATGCCCACGTGCTGCCAGTGGCCGGGCAGCTGGGAAGGCAAAGTGGACTCCAGCAGGAGACAGCAGGCGGCATCCCAGAGCTGATGATATGGCAATTGCTCCCCCAGGAGAGACGCCCGGTTGCCTGTGGCACCTCTGAGGTAGGTTCTACTCTTCTGAAATTCTTTCCCCTCGACTGACTCTTTGGTTCAAATTGCGTGTGGGGAGGTGGGAGGTTGCCATGCATTTGGGGGTTTGGCAATGTCTTCAGCGACCACCTAGTTTTTTTTGTTTGTTTTTCTTTTGGGGTCCACCCGGCGATGCACAGGGGTTGCTTCTGGCTCATGCACTCAGGAATTACTCCTGGTGGTGCTTGGGGGACCATATCAAATGCTGGGAATTGAACCCGGGTCGGCCGAGTGCAAGGCAAACGCCCTCCCCCCGGAGCTATTGCTCCAGTCCCAACCACCTAGCTTTGTGTCCATGGATATCTCTCTCTCTCTCTCTCTCTCTCTCTCTCTCTCATTTGGGGGCCACACCCAGCAGTGCTCAGGGCTTACTCTGTGCTCAGGGATCACCCCTGGTGGGCCTGGGAGACCATTGGGAGTACCGGGAATTCAACCTGCGTACAAAGCAAGTGCCCTACACTCTGTACTGTCTCTCTGGCTCAAGATTTCTCTTGAGGCTCCAACTTCGGGTGCCTCAGCTTCTCCCTTGTGGCCGGGTGCCCCACCCACGAAACCACTCCCCTGCCTGGCGTTTCCTTTTCCTTTTCCTTCTCCTGGGGAGGCCTCTCCACGCTGTCTGGTTTCCTCTCATTTCTGCTTCCTCTGTGTCTAAACAACATCTTCCGGCTATACCGTTCTCTCCGGGCTCTCGCTCTCACCCTCTCAGGACTGCTTGGGGGTGACGGGGGCGGTATTTCTCGAAGACATTTCTTACCTATCGAACTCTAGGGCAGCGCTGATGTGGGGTGTTTTGCAGGGAAGGTGTTTCTCCTGCATCGTTCTCTCCATCTCTATCCACCATCCCTTCCTTCTAGGCTGCCTGGGGGTGGGGTTAAGGGTGGGAGATGAGTGTCTTTAACTTAGGAAGCAAGATGGGATGGCTTGGGTTTAGAAAGGAAAACGGTTAAAAGGTCTCATAGAAAATTTCTGACCATGCAGGAATTGTGTGTGTGTGTGTGTGTGTGTGTGTATGTGTGTGTGTGTGTGTGTGTGTGTGTGTGTGTGTGTGAGAGAGAGAGAGAGAGAGAGAGAGAGAAGTTGAGAGACAGAGAGAACCTAGTATGATGAGAGATTCCCAAATGGCCACTTTTACAAAACAAAATCACTCAGCACTCCCTCCCTCAGAAATCCATGTTAGCTCTGGAAAGAAAGATGGCGGCCGCACGGGAGCCCTGTGGACAGCAGGTTTGAGCCGGGCTCGGCGGGAGCGGCGGGGACCTCATGGGAAGGGGGACTTTGTGGGCCGTCCCCCACGCCCCACCGAGGTCTCCAGCTGCCCCCCACGAGCGGCTCTCCGGCACGGCCACGACTCCAGGGCACAGAAGCCAGTCTCTTAACTATCTAACTTTTAATAGAAATTCTTCCAGGGTCAATAAGTAAAATAGCAGAAATTCAAAACCGCGCGGACGCAATAGCGGCCGCGCGACATCATTTTATTCTTAAACCAAGTTGTAGAAAGCAAATCATTTCACAACGCTGTTTCAGCATATCTGATTGTGGGGGGTGGGTCGTAAACTCTAAACAATAATTGTGCATCTTCTATCGAAACAATCTATCTAGTCAAAGTAGATAGAGTATTAACTAGAACTCATCTGCCTCACAAGAATTGGGAGGGGTGGGA